CCCGCTGCTGAGGCCAACTTCTTGTGCACCCAAAAGGGAATCCTCCAGGTTTGCTAAGATTACATTGTGCCTGGTGATCCTGATCTGCTTCAGGTGCCTCCACACCAGAGTATTCCTCCCTGTTGGTGGCTGAAATGATCCTTGCTGCTATTTTGTCAGCCACATGTGTGATCTGCACACCAAAATACCATTCATCAATTGGCCCTGGAGTAATTTCTTCCAAACCCTCTTAACAGTGATCCTCTACCTAATCACCTCCATTATCGACCTTGCTGAGAGAGGAAACCACTCCAAAACCATCGCAGGGGTACTGGGCCTAATTGCTAAGGGCCTCTTTGGCTTTAATGCCTACGTCAACCTTCCTCTTTCAGAAGCAAAGATATACTGCAGCCCCCACTGGCCCCACAGATGGTCAGTGTAGGCAAACTCCCCTCATTTCTCTCTGTAACCTGCAAGTAAGTTTTCCATGGAAATAACTCTTCCCTGTCCCAACAACAACACTCCCAGCGAACCAATTCCCATCCCCCTATAGAAGTAAAAGTGCCTTCATTGGGAGAATATTGTCTTCCAGCCTGCCAATCAACTCTTGATGGGTGTGGCCACCTTTATGGGTATGCTTAGGTCCTGCTTCTGCAGTATCCAAAAGGAGACACCAGTTTTGCCTGAACCATATCCCCCACCTAAGCCATAAAATTAGGGAGTGGGAAGCCTTAGATGTCAGAGTCCAGGCTCTAGGAGGTGATCCACTCCAAATAATCTCCTTGGTGTGGGTGGTGGTTCTATGGAGGGATAAATAAATAATAAACAGACTGTTAAAATATAAAAAAGAAAACTGTACTTATACCTCCTAAATCTGTGAAAACGAAACAAATAAAGAAGCCAGTCTGGGCTGAGTTGGCTTATGTCTGCAAGCCCAGCACTTTGGGAGGCCAACATGGGAGGACTGCTTGAGGCCAGGAGTTCAAGACCAGCCTGAGCAATATAATGAGACCTCGTCTCTATGAAAAATAAAAATTAGCCAGGGCTAGGGATATTTCTAGCTAGAGTCAGTCATTATTTCTAAGGTTTCAATGGACAGATCTAGGACATATATTTGTAACCATATGCATTTATAAATACAAGGTATGAATATATTTAAGTTTTATATGATGTATGACAAAATATCAAATATACAAGCTAAAATCTTATGAAAACATACTGAACTTTTAATTCAAATTCAGGATAACAGGGCTTTTAGTTCCCCTCTTTTATAATTATATCTGCATCTTCTTTAATACTGACAGTCCTGGTTCTTCAGGGACATGGGATGATAGAATATTTATTTATTTGCTTCATCCCACCAATATGATTACGGAGAGCAGATAAAACTGTGTGTGCATATCATTTACCCGCCCTGCCCCCCTTTATATAACTGTGGTCGGTCTACATTGTCAGAGTACGTACCCACTACATACTATCAGCTTTCCCATTTAACCTGCATACACTCCTATTTTCAGACTTATTCAAGTCACTGTATATTAAATGCCCCCTACTAGTTCATACGCCAATCACTTTGTCTAGAAGCTTGTCCTCTAGATGATTCTTTAAAAAGTGTTCACAGCAACAGCATGTCCTATGTTTCCTGTATTTTGGTAATAGTTTGTGCCCTTTATATTTCAAAGCCAGTTTTGCTGAATTCTAGATCCTCGGCTCACACAATCTTAAAGTATCTTAAATATGTTACTCCAAAAAATTTTTTTGGTATGGCATAAAGCCTTGCTGCAGGTCTAATGACTCTCTGATTTTCTTACTAGTCACTTGCTCTTTTTGCTAGATGCCCAAAACATATGCTGTTTCCGTAAACTCAGTAATTTCATCAGAATATATCCTGGTGTTGTTTTTTCTACATTGATATTCTCAGGTATACTGTGTGTTCTTTCAGTCGGTAGTTTGATTTTTTTTTTAATTCAGGAAAGTTTCCTTGAATTATCATTTTTAGTATTCGTTCTGATCACGTGCATTGATTTGCTTCAGAGGCTTATTTCTCTGCATGCTGCTTATTTGTCACTCTCCCTTGAATCTTTAAAAAAAATTTCTTTTTAAAAAAATGTCAAAGTATAATCTACATATGGTAAAATTCACTCTTACTGTCTTATGATTCCTTTACAAATGCATAGTTACATAACCACCACAATTAAAATATGTAGTTAAGTTTTGTCACCCCCAAGTATCTTCCCTGTATACATAATTTGGTGCTAAAGCTACTTCCTTGTAGACAAGAAAGTAACAACTATAGAAGTCAGGATAATGGTTAATTTTGGGAGCAGGGTGGGGGCTGTGACTGGCTGGGGCATATAGAGAGGGTTCGGGGGAAAGTGAAAAAGTTCTAATTTTTGACCTGGGTGGTGATTACAAGGCTTTTGGCCTTCTAATAATTCACTAACATGAATTACAAGACCTCATCTCTAAATAATAATAATAAATGAAGAAAGGTTACTTTAGAGGAGTATCCCCTCTTCCTTCCTATGTTGTATTACGGTATAATATATTCATGTTTTCATCCATGGTTCCTGGTTCCTAACTCCCATAGTCTTTGTTATAATGTTGGAGTGCTTAAGGCCTCGGGAAACAGGATCTCTCTATGACCTTCTCCTATCCTTCTTTCCCCTGCCCAAGGCAGGACTCTAATCTCACTAGGGGGTCAGAAGACCCTCATTCCGGAGAGGGTCCTGCCCCATACCTTAGAGGAAGGAATGCTACACAGAGAGCCCAAGAGAAGTCTGAGCAGATGTGCCTTGCTTGTCCAATCATCACATTTCTACAGCTTTCAACCATGCCTATGTAATGAAGCCTCCATAAAAACCCAAAAGAACAGGGTTCATAGAGCTTCTAGATAGCTGAATGCAGGAGATTCCTCCTGAAGGGTGGTGTGCCCAGGGAGGGCATGGACACTGCACTTTTTCCTCTACACCTTGCCTTGTGCATCTTTTCATCTGTATCCTTTGTAATATCCTTTATAATAAACTGGTAAATGTAAGCAGATGTTTCTCTGAGTTCTGTGAACCACTGAAGCAAATTAATTGAACTCAAAGAGGGGGTCGTGGGAACCCAAACTTGAAGCTGGTCAAAGTTCTAGAGGCCCAAACACGGGACTGGTGATAGAAGGGGGAGAGGGCAGTCTTGGGGACTGAGTCCATAAACTGTGGGATGTGACGCTCCCTCCAGGTAGATAGCATTGGAATTGAATTGGAGGGCACATAACTGGTGTCTGCTGCTTGGCGTGTGGGGAAAAGAAACCCACACCTTTGGTCACACAAGTCTTCCTTTGTGTTGATGATTGTGGTGGTGTGAGAGCAAAGAAAAAACATGGTTTGAGAGTTTTTCCCTATATGTGTATCCAGAACTTCTTCCCAAAGTTCAGGGTAAGCAGACAACGGTGACTCAGAATCACCAAGGAGTTCACAGTATGTGGTGGAAGGAAGAGAAGGTGGAGGAGATTCTCCTCTCCTTAGCCTCAGAGATGTATCTCAATGACCTGAGTGCTTTCTAGCATATCCTAATGCTGTAAGATAAGGGGAACTTCCTTACAAGCAAAGGAATTGTAATTCAAAAACTGCTAATAAGGGCTGAAAAAAGGAGAGGTAAATATAGTTAAATGCCAATCCTGAAAAAATTAAAAGGGAAAACTAGGAGTGGTGACAGCCTGTGCTTTGAGAATAACTACAAAATGAGAGTGCATATTTCTCTTTGGGCTCCCCTGGCACAGAAAGCCAAATCTGACAGGAGAGAGGAAGAGAAATCTCACTCTCCATGACCACACCTACTTCCTGAGCTGAACTTGGTTTCGTAAAGTCCAGCACTCTAGAAATCAGAAGGAGGAAAACAGGAGAGACCCATGTGTGTACTGACCTCTACTATGTCTGCAAAGGCAGGCATTTCAGTTTACTCAATAGGTTAACCAGAAATTTTGAGCTGACAAAGGAGGAATGATATTATCCTTATTTCCTTTTTACTTACTGTTATATAGCACTTTTATACCTAGATTTGTTATGTTTTGTCTGTTATTTATACTTGTGCAGTCCCTTCCTCTCACTCCCTAGTGTCATAAGCTCCATAAAAAGAGGGACTTTATATATCTTTCATGCACGTGGGCCAGCGCCAGGTAAAACGTTTTACACACAGCATATGCTCAGTATGTCTGCTGCATTAAATTTTAAAAAATCAAGGACAGTCACAAGAAACAAGACAAAATTTGTTTTGTACTATTTCAGAAGGCAAAAATCAGAACAAACTGAAAGGAAAGGGGAAGCATATTAGGCCAACAGTAACACCAAACTTCACTAGCACTGGTTGCCCTGAGAAGTAATGTCCCTTCACCATCTTCAAAATATTTAAAAAGAGGCTGTGTGCCCACTGGCAGAGATGCTGGGGAAAGGATATCCTTCACATCTGAGGGGTCATATATTTCTTTATGTCCAGATTGCATTAAAAGGGGAAGGAAAATTTGGGGTCCGCTTCAAACTCCTAAGATTTTGTGTTTCTGAATAGGGCTGTCCTCAGTGACTCAGACTCAGAAGCCAATGAAGAAAATAAGGAGAAACAAATCTACCCCAAAACCTATACAGATCAGCCATTCCTACCCCACTAGAAATCCATCATTGCTAATGCAAAAGCTCAATCCTACTTTATCAAAGAATCAAATACCAGAACAAATACTTGACTAGGCACTAGTATTTAACATGTGTTATTTTCATTTCATCCTTGTTATTATTTTACATTTATGTATTTTGTAAGAAGACACTGATACTGAGAAAATATACAATGAATGGGTTTTGAACTTTGACTCAATCATATTTTCATTGAACCTTCCTGCTTCTAAGATAAGCTACTAAAATACAATCATTTATAAACATATTATATTTGTAAAATATAATCGTTTCTTTCCTGTATTGGCATTAGAAAACTCCGTTTACTACCATATCTTAATTTCCATACCATAAATTCATGCTTCCATGTCTTACCACTTATTTCAAGCTCTGCCCAATGGGATTTCTTTCCATTTGCTGCTTCCTCAGAAGACATAATTGTATACATCCTCCGAGGGTCAGGGGGCTCGTACTGTTCTTTGGGCATGCCTGTTAAAAAAAGAAACCAATCAGTATTCTAAACAAATCAAATAAACAAAAGCCACAACACCTCTTTTTTTTTGAGACAAAGTCTGACTCTGTCACCCAGGCTGGAGTGCGGTGGCACAATCTTGGCTCACTCCAACCTCTTCAAGCAATTCTTCTGCCTCAGCCTCCCAAGTAGCTGGGACTATAGGCACGCACCACCATGCCAGGCTCATTTTTGTATTTTTAATAGAGATGGGGTTTCACCATATAGGCTAGGCTGATCTCTAACTCCTGACCTCATGATCCGCCCGCCTCAGCCTCCCAAAGTGCTGGGATTACAGGAGTGAGCCAGCACGCCCAAACCACACCTTTTAAAAGTGGACACCCATATTACAATCTCTACCATTTCCCACTGAAAGAAACTAGGAGCTTCTTGCAGAAAATGATTATTTCAAGTGCAGGACAAGACAGATACAAACAAGCTGTGAGGCTACCAAGGCTGCAGCAGCTGTGGGGGACACAGGAGCCAGCTTGAAGAAGCTTCCACTGACCAAATATGAGACAATCTGAACATCAGAAGAATGACTGCAACTGAGTCATTATGAACTTCATGAGTTCACACTTTTATCTAAAAATCAAAAAACTCAGTCACCAGAAATTAGAAAATTAAAAAATCGGCAGGGCATGGTGGCTGATGCCTGTAATCCCAGCCCTTTGGGAGGCCAAGGCAGGTGGATCTCGAGGTCAGGCAATCGAGACCATCCAGGCTAACACGGTGAAACCCCGTCTCTACTCAAAAACACAAAAAAATTAGCTGGGCGTGGTGGCAGGCGCCTGTAATCCCAGCTACTTGGGAGGCTGAGGCAGGAGAATGATGTGACCCCAGGAGGCGGAGCTTGTGGTGAGCCAAGACCGCGCTACTGCACTCCAGCCTGGGCAACAGAGCAAGACTTCGTCTTGAAAAATAAATAAATAAATAAATAATAAAAGACACAAACATTTATCCTGCATTTCTGGCAGAAACTAGGTGACTGTTTTTAACAGAATTCTAGCTAATAAATCCAAAAAGAGTTACGTAATTAGAAAATAGTTTACCATCTCTAAGAAAACGATGGATCTAGGCAATGATCATCAATGGTTAATAAAACCATTAAATGGAAAAAAAATCAATGGAAAATTTTCAAATGGATAGATCAGGCTACAACAGTGATTCCCAACCTTTTTGGCACCATGGACCAGTTTCATGGAAGACACTTTTCCATGGATTTGGGGAGCCTGGTGGTTTCATCATGCATTAGTTAGATCGCACCATGGAGAGCACACAGCCTAGATCCCTCGCATGCGCAGTTCACACAAGGGCTGGTGCTCCCGTGAGAATCTAACGCTGCTGCTGATCTGCCACTTGCTCACCTGCCACTCACCTCCTGCTGTGCGGCCTGGTTCCTAACAGGACATGGACAAGTACCAGGGTTGAGGACCCCTGGGCTACAAAACCTAAACCCAATGATCAGTCTCATTGTTAGGACAACCAGACATTACTTGCTTCCCAATAAGACACTATGAGAAGTACACACAAACCACCTATGTCCTTGACCCCTCACCAACAAAGTTAAAAACTGAACCTGAATCAAATCAAGCCTCTCTAGATCTGATATTAGTTTACACAAAGTAAGGGATCTAGAGGAACATGTTTAAAATAACACCACAGGACAAAACCATGTGAATATATTTAATACTACAAAACGGTACACTTGGTTATGATAGTAACTACCATGTTGTGAATTTTACCACAATTAAAATTTTTTAAAGTAAAAATAATACAAGAATACAGCCAGCCAGTCAGATGCAGAATATAAAAGTTCTAGATGACAAAAGACCAAATTTCTTGAACACATCAATGGTCTGAAAAAGAGGAGTAAGCAGAAACATATGGAATAAATGACTTAAGAGGCACAGCAATCAAATGCAATGTACAGACCTTGTTTAGTCCCAACTTGAACAAATCTGGTTTTCTGATTTTGAAAATCAGAGAAACCTGAAGATAGACTAAATATTAGTTAATATTAAAGAAGTATTGTGATTCAGGCACAGTAGCTCATGCCTGTAATCCCAGCACTTTTGTGAGGCTTGGGCCCAGGAGTTCCAGACCAGCACCAGCCTGGGCCCCATCTCTTATCAAAAAAATTAAAAATTAGCCAAGCATGGTGGTATACACCTATAGTCCCAGCAACTTAGGAGGCTGAGGTGGGAGGATCGCTTGAACCCAGGAGGTTGAGGCTGCAGTAACATGTGACTGTGCCCCTGCACTCCAGCCTGGGCGACAGTGAACCCTGTCTCAAAAAAAAAAAAAAAAGTATTATGGTTGTATGTGATTTTCAAAAATTCTTGTCGATTACAGATACATTCTAAACTATTTAGGTGAAATAAAACATCACTCCCATGTACATTCCCTCAAAGCCCTTGTTCTTGTCTTGCTTTTATTCTTTTGGATAAATCATAACCCTGGTTTAACCACTTGTTCACCTACTCTGTATACCCATGCAGCTAAACATAGCTGGAGAAAAACCTATGACCATGTAAGTTTAAAGAGTCAGTCAGCAATTATTCCTCAGACTCTGTACACTGCCCAGAAATAATACGTAAATTCCTAGTCTATCCCCTTCTCCTAGTTGTCTTCCGTCTTCAAACCTCTTAACACCTGCTCCTCCATCCTCCCTCTCAGCTGATGACCTTACTTCTTTTTTTTTTTTTTGAGACAGAGTCTCGCTCAGTCGATGTTGGCTTACTGCAAGCTCCGCCTCCCGGGTTCACGCCATTCTCCTGCCTCAGCCTCCCAAGCAGCTGGGACTACAGGCGTCTGCTGCCACGCCCGGCTAATTTTTTTGCATTTATAGTAGAGATGGGGTTTCACCGTGTTAGCCAGGATGGTCTCGATCTCCTGACTTCGTGATCCGCCCACCTCGGCCTCCCAAAGTGCTGGGATTACAGGCGTGAGCCACCGTGCCCGGCCTGATGACCTTACTTCTATTTTCACAATGAAACAGAATGTCAGAAGGGCCCTTTCTAAGATCTCCCACCTATGCCCATCTATCCCTGCCCTTAGCACGTAAGCCATTTGTGCAATTCAATCCACCCCTTCATTCTGCCTATTCAAGGATAGGACTCTGGCAATCCCTTCCTTCCTCTCGTCACATTCTGCCTCCCTCCTGGATCTTTACTTTCAGCACGCATATACATGCTATTCCTTCCTCTATTAAAAAAAAAGGCTTAACTTCATTTCTTGCTCCAGCTACTTCCCTTCTCTCATTCTCTCTATAACAAAAACAATCCTCAGGAATTGTGTATGTTCGCTGTCTTCTATTCTCCTCTTCCCAGTTAAACCCATTCAAGTTAGTAAGTGTTTTCAACCTTTCATCAAAAACTATCAAGAAGAAACCCAGTAGCCAGGCACAATGGCTCATGCCTATAACACCAACGGCTTTGAGATGCTGCAGACTGAGGATCACTTGAGCCCAGGAGTTCAAAGCTGCAGTGAACCACAATCATGCCACTGCACTACAGTCTGGGTAACAAAGCACAACCCTGTCTCTAAAAACACTCTTTTTAATTTTTTTTTTTGAAGAAACCCAGTGATCTTATATTCTTATTTCCAATGGTCATTTCTCTGACCTCTTTTTGCTTACGATCAGTATTTGATATAGATGATCACCCCTCCTGGAAACACACTGCTTGCCTTCCAGAGTATCTGTTTTCTTGGTTTTCCTCCTCTCTCTCTAGATTTAGTTTTTTACTAGTTCTTTCTGCAGAGTTGCAATTATCTCCATTTTACCAGAAAACAGAAACTCAAAATAGTATAAGCAATTTGCTCGGTGTTACCAGGCTGGGAAACAGCAGAGTCAGGTCTGAATGCGTCTGATTAAAAGCTAAAGCTACTTTATGCTATGCCGCCTCCCTGCTGACAGGAAGTAGACCTACTTTTTTTTTTTTTTTTGAGATAGGGTCTTACTTTGTCACCCAGGCTGGAGTGCGATGGTGCGATCTCTGCTCACTGCAGCCTTCACCTCCCAGGCTCAAAAGCCATCCTCCCCTCAGCCTCCCGTGTAGTTGGGACTACAGGCATGCGCCAACACGCCAGGCCAATCTTTGTGTTTTTTTGTAGGGATAGATTTTCGCCATGTTGCCAAAGCTGGTCTCGAACTCCTGGGCTCATGCGATCCACCTGCCTCAGCCTCCCAAAGTGCTGAGATTAGAGGCATAAGCCACTGCACCCAGCCTACTTTTCAAACACAGAATTGGGTTTTGACTGTTTACTCAAAGCACAGAAGGAGGTAAGCAATCCTAAAAAGCTGCTTTAGAATATAAATGGTGAGATAAAATAAACTGGTCTTATACCTTAGTTGATTCAATATAGAAATATAGTAACTGCTGTTTTTAGACTGATACAAAATACCCAATATAAAAGAACAAACATGAAGAAGTGTTCATTCTGTCTAGAGGACAAGGTGGTAAGGAAAGTGCTCTTTCTGAATGACATGCATGTATCAGTATAATGCTCTGTTCTGTGCTACCAGAGCTTGATGACAGCATCCCTTAAGATCACCTAAATGGCACTATTCTGACCAGATTCCACTTACAAAGTAACTATCTGATCTTCATCAGCTTTCCCAAATAGAATTTTATAATGGTAAGAAATTGCTTTGACCAGCTGAGATTAGTATTTTAGTCCTATTAATCATTTGAATTATTGATGAAAGTTCAGAAGTCTGATTTATCAATCTCATGTAAGCTTAGTGTGAATCAATGTTCAGTTTGATCACACTTGAGGAAGTGTTACTGGACTAAGGCATCTGAAAACCATGCCCTGTACCTGTGGCCAAACAGTCTTGATTTCTGCCTGGGCAGCAAACCATTGCCTTTCTTGGTTTTTCGTATTTTGAGATTGGCAGTCTCAAAATTTAAGGTACTCATCATTCTAAGTCCCAAGGCACTGAAAAACCCAATCCATTTTTCTGGGAGTCTGA